TTCTACAAATTAAATTCTTTCAAATTTCTTCAAATTAAAAGTCATATATTCTGTTTTTCATCCAATATGAACTGTAAACAGAATCCTACAGGACATGCGTCAGACAGGAAGTTGTTCTCTCTTTATGGGTTAAAAATATGGCATGAAAAATTTGTTTTTGTTTAATTTCTTCTGATCTGGGGCCTCATTTATCAAGCTTGCTTACGCACTAAACGGGGTCGGAAAACTGCGTAAGCAACTTTCCACGCAAACTTTGGGATTTATGAAAGAAAACTTAGCGGAAAAATGTGCGCAACTTTAAGTTGACTAAGGACCTGGCTTACGCACATGTTGGACATGGAGAGCACCTGCAGTGCTGCTGCTGAGAAGATACAATTATGAAATCCTGCAGCATTATCACTTGTACCGCTTCTTTCACACAGAACAAGACCCCCCCACACGCACACACACACACACACACACACTCACACACATGTGTGCACACTCTCACACACACACACGCGCACACACAGAATATGGAATGCAGAATATCAGCAGGGGGACAGATTGAGACAGAATGTCATGCGTCTGTGACAGTGTGTGTGTCCTGTCATTGTGACCCGAATGATCATGCACCCTGCCTACTTGAACAAGGGAGATCTCCGTTTGGCTGACTGGTTAGCGTGCGTGACTTTCACCTGGGAGTCTGGGGATTGAATCCCGATTGGACCATTTTCTTTATATCTGCCACAGATCTCTCTGAAGAACTCACAACATTGACGGCTTCAGCAACGCTGTGCCACTCCGTGGATTTTCTCTTATTTGTTTTGCAAAAGTACTTCCTTTCATTTCTCCACCTCACCCACAGGTACCTCAACTTCTGCTTCTGTGAAACTGAGCTTCCTTGATCTGCCTTGGTCTACGGTCGCCATCGTCATTGGCGGAGCGCTGCAACAGCCGGCTTATGTATATGCATGAGATCCACAAGGCACTTTGCATTGACTATTTATGGCAGAAAGTGGGCGTGGTGAGGGCGGGATGTGACTAAAATGCAGCTGAGAAACATTCTCGTTAGTCTCCGGTTTTTGAAGCGGAGATTGCGTGCAGCTGTGCGTACTCCATGTTTGATAGATCACAAACCTGCTTGGCGTAATTTTTTTTTTTTTTTTTGCTGAGCCTAAGTACGGTTTTAGTAAGGATTCTACGCAATGTTTGATAAATGAGACCCCAGGACTTGATTTAAAATAGAGTAAAATAGAACTGAAGAACAAATAAAACATAAAACGCTAGATGCTAGGTTTTATAGGTGAGTCCTAGAGTGGAGAAATTACTCCTTGATGATAAATTCAATAAAGGAATACCATTGATTGTTTTGAATAACAGCTTTCCGTAATTTTCTCCAGACCAAACCGTTTCTCAGCTGATCAGAACTAAACTCTACACGAAGCAGCCGCTCATGTAGCTATCCTGTTTCTGTTGTAGCTGTTAGCTGCTAACTAAAACCTGCTACGCATTACTTTTTATTTTAGTTAGACAAACCTTGGAATTGTTTTGATGACAGTTTTGACTGAACACTTCAGTCTTCCACTATGTTTGTTTTACTAAAAGAATAAAAGTAAAGTTAGTTTATCACAAAGACGAACCTATTTAAAGGCACACTTGCTTTTAGCCCCTCCTATTGTCCATTATTATTTCTCTGTGGCCAGACCAAAAATGAAACTTATGTCCTCGCTGTGCGTTGATCTTTTTAACACCTTAGGGCCGTGACATACTTCTGTTTAACCTCGCGTTGGTGCAGGCTGCGTCTGTTCACATACTTGCTGCTGCACGGCAATGCACTGCATGTAATACTAGAGTGTACCACTAGGGGGTGCACTAGATGACTCAGACAGGATACAGAGCTGGGTATGTGGGAACAACCAAAACAAACATGGTGTCAATAAAAGAGCTCAGTAACTGGTTATTTTTGAGATCACGACAGAAAAAAAGACAGCAGCGCTATCATAGATGGTGTGAAAGATCTCTAAACCAGAGACGGAGTCACCATGATGAGTGTGTCTCGCTCGTTTTGTGAACTCCGCCTACTGGTTACTTGTATATAGCAGCATTCGGACGCACAAACATTGCTTCAACTCAACACAAGTCATGCGTGGCAGTCATTATAAACAGACTTTCGCATTGTTAAACAGACGGCTCTTAATCTGACTGCTGAAACTTCTCCCCATCCTTCCTTAGGTTCTACAAGATTGGTTCATCACTAAATCAAATAAATCAGCTGTGTTCATGATATAAAACAAGCAGGAGACGTGTTGGAATCAGACTGCAGTGCCAGGTATGTCAGCTAATTGTTTCCTAAGTCCAACAAGTGGTGACCCGCCAAACTGAAGTTGCAAATGCGGTATTCTGACCGGGGAGGGCGGTGGGGGTCTAAGTGGCTTTTCATTAACACTGTAAACTGTCATTTTAGCAGAATCTGGCTCCAGAAAATGATTTTAACCTATGAAAAAGTTGCATAGTATGGCTTTAATACAAAACATGCTACGGCACTGATTAGCAGTGACTGACGAGTTCATTTCACCAGAACCAAGCTGAGCACAAGGATTCAGAAAGCATGAATCCAGGTTCTGCTACAAAACTGACCTAATCTACTCAGGAGTTAGCTGCTGAGTTAAGCCTTGTTCAAAATAAAGGATTTCCAAAACATGAAAGATCCCATATGTGGTGATGATAAATCAAATATTTACCAGTTCTGGTCCCATGGTCTGTGGTATGCAGAAACACAACAAAAACTACACACTAACCCATTTCACTCTCGAGCATTCCCCAGTCAGACAGGAAATCTCGCAAGATCCAACGTGACTTTTATGTTGTCACACACTCCTCGGAGGAGGAGCATGCAGTACACTTCCTTGACCTTGCTTTCTGATTGGCTACACATCACATTCAACAGGCAGCATGCTTGTTTGTCCTCAAAATTCAGACCAAGACAATCCAACTTGTTTAAAAGTCTGGATTTTTAACCGCAGCAGTCCCGGCATGCTTTTGAGCTGAACAGAGCCTTCTTCACACACCACACAAGGTAGGATTATCTGATAAGATTATTGTTAACAATGTATAATAAGGGTCCATTTATTAACATTACGTATTTCATTATTAAGCATTAATAGGCAAAGGACCCCTTTCTTAACGTTCCCAATATTATTAACTATTAAGTGTCCCTAAGGTTAGCACAAAGGGCCAAGGGGTGGGTGCTTAGTAATGCATTACTTAAAATTAACATTAATATTAAGCAGTTGTTAATACTTTATTTAATAGTTTATTTATGCTTAATAATGCACTAAGTAACACTAATAAAGGGACCCTTATTGTTACCTGATTATCTTTAGAGGAGCTGCGGTAATTCTGTGCCTCCTTATAATTGTCAGAAGTGAAGAGAAGGAGCTAGTCAAAAACGTGTATGTATCATATGTGCCATGCTTCGCTTTTATTAATTGGATCGTTTTTTTTTTACTTCAATTGGCCGTTTTCTTGTCATAATGACTGTTCTTGCTGACTGAGCAGTACAGCACTTTGGTCTCCTTGCAATTTGTATGGTGCTGTATAAATAAAGGTTATTATTATTATTGTTATTATTATTATTATTATTATTATTATTATTATTATTATTATTATTATTATTATTATCTTGTTAATAAATATAGTTGAAAGCTATTTGTACCTTCGGTTTTCCTCCTTGCATTATTAGAGTTGAAGAAGACATTTTTATCAAGCGCCTCACTAGAAAAAATATCGCAAGGTGCTTCACAAGCAAATTAAAATTTAATAAATAACAATAATGATAATAAATATTAATAAAGAATCAGTTAGATAGATAGATAGATAGATAGATAGATAGATAGATAGATAGATAGATAGATAGATAGATAGATAGATAGATAGATAGATAGATAGATAGATAGATAGATAGATAGATAATGTTAAAATAATAAAAAAACATTCTGTGTTGTCTCTGCTACATTGGGACACACTGACAGAAGCGAGGCTGCTGAGCAAAGCACCACCAGTCCCTCCAACCACCACCAGCAGGCAACGAGAGTTTGTTGACTTGCCCAAGGAAACAACGCCTGTGGCAGACAGGGCTCAATACCTACAACCTTACGGGTTAGTTACTAAACTTCTCTGCCGCTGTCGCCCTTGTTTGTGTTCACACAGACCATAAGTTAATCTTCTTTCATCAATACATAAATTTAAAACCTTAAACATTATGTAAATAAATAAATCACCATGCTGCTGCTGACCATTTTCACAACAAAACAATATTGTCGATAATTCATTTTTTTTTGCAAAGACAGCAAATGACCAAATTTGTTCTAAATTTCTAAAATATATGTTGAAATAATGATTCAAACAACTGACATATATTTTTCTAAAATGTTGTGTTTCTCAAATGTGAGGTAAATCTATTGGATGCACTTAAAAAAAAAGCAAATGAAAGCTCAATCCAAAGCACTACTATCCCAGAGTTACCACAAGAACCAATTTGTAGTGCCACCCCATACATTTCCCTGGCCCCCTCAATATTTTTTCTGGGGGCGCCACTGACTCAGACTCGGATAGGGATCAAAAATATGGTCGGAACATCCCTGGATATTAGAATGATAGCAGTCCCAGCAATAACCGGTACCAGGCTGATAGTTCCCCTCAGTAGAACCGGCCCGGTACCGTCTGCCCGGTGGGCTCCATCTGTTCTTAGATGGATGCAGGTCTGGTTCTGATCTCACGGCCGCTCTACTACAGTTCGGTTGATATTCTGTAGTTCTGCATCGGCTCGATTTGCACAGCATGACCGATACACTTTAATCATGTCCTCGTTAGAAGGAACCCTGCAGCTGGTTCGGTTCTAAGGTTTGTGGCCATAGCTGGGTGGAGGCGAGAGGTGTTCTACCTGTCTGAAAATGGCGCTCAAACCAAAAGATGTCAACAAATTGTCAGCGCGCTTCGGGATGGGTTTGGCCACTCACCGCTCCGTCCGGGTCATCCAGCAGAACCGAACTATCAGATCTGGTGTGAAAGCTCGCTGATCCCGACGAGCATCAGACGGATGAGACGCTGAGTTGATCGGAACCGGTCCTGATTCTGTAACAATGCGCTTGGGTACCAGGAGCGCGCGAGCGCCTAAACCCTCTGCGCTGTCTGACAGGCAGGCTGGGACATAATCCTGCATCCGATGTGCGCGCGCTATTTAAGGCTGTTCACCTGAAAGCAGGAGAAGCAGAGCAGCCCAAAAGAATCATGGCGCTTAAAGTTTCTTTATGAAGCATTTTACATCTGCTGCCTTTAATGTTTTGAACTGAGATGTTTACAAATGATGAGAATCTATTTGGTCACGTGTTTCTAACTGTGTTTTAAAACCCCATAAAGGGACACATGCTGCAAATTATTTTTACTACAAGCATGGGGCGGTGGTTTTACAGTTTGTCTGTGTTTTTATATCTGATCCTAAGTGGATGAATGAATGAATGACTCAATCAATCAATCAATCAACCAATCAATCAATCAATCACTTTTCTGTCTTTTAAGAACTTCTTTTGCAGAAGAAAGTGCCAGCACATGCCCATAAATAATAATACAAAAAATAATACTTTCAATTTAGTCTGACTTCGAAGTCAGTCGACTGTGGTCTAGCATTTAACAGGCGAACTGAGGGGGCCTCTACAAAAAGTGGCAAGAATGGACTGCTGTGGTAAACCTGAAGCTCACAGAGAAAAGCACTGTTAATATTTAGCAAAAATTTGTAGGGTGTTGAGTTGGAATGTGCGTTTCTGATCTGTTATGAAGCTGAGGTATCTGTATAAGTGAAACTTTTCAGTAGATTGCCTGTTTACATGGAGTCAGGGGAACGGGGATGTGCCGTGGTGGAACATTTCTTCGGTCTTGGAGACATTCAAGTCCAAACAGACCTCTGTACACTCCAGTGAAAATAAGTCCAGTTCTGCGTCAGCCTGACGAAGCTTGCAGCCACAAACGAAACGTTGCAGGTAAATAAAACCTTTCTGTGTTTTAAAAAGAATTAAAAGATGAAGTCCAGTTCTGTTCATAGTAGTCCATCTGTGTTGGTGTCAATGATAAGTGTGTCGTCTGGATAGTTGACGTACATCATCCTTGGTGCAGCTGCTGCAGTTGTAAGTACATGAAGTGAAAAGAAGTGGAGAGATACCTGAACCTTGTGGAGAACCTGTAGGGATTGACCTGACGGTGCTGAGGTGGCCTTTCATCCTGACCCTCTGGTCCCTCGCCGTGAGGAAGGAAAGGACCCAGAGGATGAGATGGTGGTTGGCATTCAGCTTAAGCAGTTTATGGCCCATGAGATCTGTTAAACGCACCTGAAAAATCCACATAGACCAAGCTGGCATGAGACTTGGGCATTTCCAGGTGGATGAGGGTCTCATGCAGCAGAGGTAGCACTGCATCATCCACCCATGCAGTGGGTCCGAGTATACACCTACGTCAGCCAGCAGCTGGTGGTGATGAGCCTCTCCAAGCTCTTCGTGACTAGTGATTTCAGAACCGCAAGCCAAAAAAACGCCAATTATAATTGTAATGTTATGTCATGTGAGCTGTCAGAGTTTGTGATCGGACAATTACTGAATTAATTGATTAAAGTACAAGGATGCAATTTCCAATTCAAAATGGTTTACTATGCTTCACTTAGTCACTCAGCAGAAGGAAATTCCAAAGTACTATTCTCTACCTTAAGTAATATCATCAAGCCCTCTGATACTTTTTCACCTCAAACGTACTCTCTACCATTTTCTGTAATCAAATTGTGGATTTCTTTTCTTCTTAAGTTGAAAATTTTCGTTAACACTTGTCACCCTGTAATGCATCTGGCTGTTTACACTACTATCAACTTTTTCTTCCACTCTTTCTGACTCTGCCATCCATTAGTGAGAAACTCTAAAATCTAAGTGCTCCACATGTAAATAGGACCCTCTAACCACAAACTTGGTCCAACTTTGCTTGGCCTCTCTGCTACCTCTCATCAACAACATTGCACATTCTTCTCTTTTCCCAGGATCTGTCCCACCACTGTTTAAAACAGTGATAATCACCCCAATTCTTAAGAAACCTGGTTTGGCTACAACCAATTTAAATAACTTCAGACCAGTTTCCAACCTCCCATTCCTGTCAAAAGTATGAGAAAAGGTGGTAGCCCTTCTATTTGTCTACATGAAACAAAAACATGGTTCTCTCACAACCTCCTCCAACAAAATGGAAATAAAACAGAACTTCTCCTCATTGGCTCAAAATCTTCAGTCTGTAAAACCTCCAAATTTTCTATTTCGGTTGATAACTTTACTGCTCTCCCCTCATCACAGGTTAAAAGTTTGGGTGCCATTCTGGATAGCAACTCTCCTTTTCAGCTCATATAAACATCATCACCCACTCTGCCCACTTTCATCTATGTAATATTAATCGTCTCCGTCCCTCCCTTACCCCAATGACACCGGTCACTTTCAGGCTTGATTACTGTGGGCAGATTGTGAGAATGTAGGAGGTGAGATATAATTGAAAAACACCTGAGAACATTTCTGTAAGTAACATTTTTTTGCTGAACTTAAAGAGAACACCATCAGAAAACAAAACTCCACTCGTAGTTAAATTCCTTCTAATTATTACTGTTAACTGATGCCCACCCTTCTAGGCGTGTGCAGAACATTTGGCATTCTGCAGCACCTCTTTACCCTTAACCTGACACAGGAGAAGGTCCTAGTGCCGTAGAAGACACCCCAACTTGTTCAAGATGCTAAAACTCATTCATATGTACTTCAGAACTACATTCATGTCGACTCACCTGCATTAGTAAACAAACACCTTTCAGGACTTTCTGCAGTTTGCTCATCACTGTTGGGTAGGAAGTGAAGACATCATCACAAACCCCATCGTCTGGGCAAAGCAGCAGCTCTGTGAGGGTCGTGTGATTTGGGTGCCAGAGGCGGGATATGATCCAACATCACATGAGCTCTTTTCTAGGAAGAGTGTGATTTTAAAGCAGGAATATTGTGTGTGTACGCAGTGTTTTATAAGGCCAAAAGTTGGATTATGTAAGTGACTTTTTTGCTAAAGCTAAGTAGAGTTGAAGTAAGGGTTCTAGGAATGGTCTTGCAACAACTGACTCTGACTGAGCCTGAGTTTGAACCGGCAACACAGTGGTTACAGTCCAACTCCTAACCCCCTGAGCTACCATCACCCTATCAGTGATGCCAGAAGGTTGTATGGATGACAAACAAAGAGCTACAATAAAGAACCATAAAGAAGGTCCCCTTAGAGAGGATCAGGGAGATAATTAGTGTATCTAATCGTCAGTGTGTGTGTGTGTGTGTGTGTGTGTGTGTGTGCATGTGTGTGTGTGTGTGTGTGTGTGTGCATGTGTGCGCTAAACAATGCTACAGCATCAGCTGTGTTCTGTTAGATCTCCTTCCCCCATCATGTTACAAAGGAACCAGTCTTCAACCCCTCCCCCAGCCCCCTTTCAGAAACAGCAATAGTGATTCCAACCAGCAAAAGGTGAAGAAATCTCTTCCCTCATTCAATTATGAGTTTTTATTCACAGTGACTCAGTAAAAAAGACCAAGGCACATATTTATAAAACTTCATAGACAATCTCTACTTAAATCAGGGAAAAAGTTTAACCCTCTCAGGCTCTAAATAAGTTTTGATAAAAGGACAAACAACTAAGTCCTTCAGGGGTACTTCTGAGTTAAAAAATGCTCATGAAATACGTATGTGGAGTAACCAGGTAGGTAGGTTTTATCGTTGCAAATCTGCAACGCCTGCCTCCAGAGGGTTAATGCACAAAGTAAGTACAACCACCGCTGGTGTGCTGGGATTGCACGGTTCCGGCAAGTCAGTCAATCTAACACCGGGCCCAGTTCAGCACATAGATCTAATAGAACTGCTATAGGGAATCTAGATCAGCTGATCAGTCTGCCAGCATCATGGACCGGGAAGTCTTCATGGGATCTAAAAACTCTCCTCAGCTTGCCATTGGTGGGATCTTCAAGGATCTTGTGAGGCATTATGCACGAGTGTCATTCCAGTATTTATGTATCCAGCAGTGATCACATTAGTTAAACCATGTGATTCAGGTGTGCTGCAAAACCTGCAGGATGGCAGCCTTCAAGGACTGGAGTTGGAGTTGGAGAGAGAGAGCATGCGCTGACGGCCCGATCACCGGACACACGGCGGCGTTTTGAAGCAGATGGCAGCTTGTTAATCAACTTCCACAAACAAGACAGATTTTCGCCTAATTTACTCACTGACAATGCAAAAAAATTAATAAATCTGGTAAATATAACACACTCAACCTGGAGGTAAGTGGAGAAAATTTAGAAAATTTGCAAATATATATTGACGAGGTTTTTGAGATTTTTGTCATGGGACCGAAGAAAGCAGCAGCAGCTGAGACGGAAACACCTGGGACACCTGGGAGGAGCCTTCCCCAGGACTCGCCCGAGGCCTCATCTCCCCATAAGGATGTCTTAGTTTTACTACAGTCCATAGATAAACGGCTTCTGGGATTTGAGGGGTGACTCCACCTGCTAGAGCTGCTTCACAAGGAGTTCCAGGACCTCCGAACATCTCTGGAGTTTAGCCAGGAGCAGGTGGAGCGGCTCACAGCTGAGAACGCGTCTCTGCGGGAATCAGTTTCCTCCTTGACTGCAGGATTAGATCGGATCTCCCAGGACAACAAAGTTCTAAAGGAAACGGTTCTGGATCTCCAATCACGCAGCATGAGAGGCAACCTGGTGTTCGCAGGCCTCCCAGAGCAGACCGGAGGAGAAGCAGAGGATTGCGAACAAACCATCAAGAACTTTCTCCACACCCACATGAAGATACCTGAGGAAACGGTTAAAAACATCACCTTTCATCGGGTACATCGCTTTGGAGCCAGAAGAACAAACAGCAGAAGACCTCGTCCCAT